GTCACAACTTAGCCAATGAGAGACAGCCACAACTTAGCCAATGAGAGACTGTCACAACTTAGCCAATGAGACAGCCACAACTTAACCAATGAGAGATAGCCACAACTTAGCCAATGAGAGACTGTCACAATTTAGCCAATGAGAGACAGCCACAGCTTGCGGGGTGGGGGGTGGGGGGGAGTGGGGGGCGCCTGGGTGGCTCAGCTGGTTAAGCATCTGCCTTTGGCTCAGTTCATGATGCCAGGGTCCTGGGATTGAATCCTGCAGGGAGCCTACCTTTCCCTCTACCCCAAACCCCTGTCTGTGATGTCTCTCTCTCTCTGAAATAAATAAATAAATAAATAAATAAATAAATAAATAAATAAATAAATAAATAAAAATCTTTAATAAAAAAGACAGCCACAATTTAGCCAATGAGAAGTCACTGTATTTCAAACTCTCAGTTTACTCCAGTGAACTTTTTGTTTGCAACTGCCCCTCCCAATTCCGTTTTCCTTTATAAAAGATCCTCCTTTAGTTGTTCTCCCAGTATTGCAGTAGCTTGCTTGTCCTGGATTGCAATTCTCTTCTTTTTTCAAATAAACCTATTTTTTGCTGGTAAAACAATGAGCAGGTTTTTTTTTAAGATTTTATTTACTTATTTGACACAAAGAGAGCACAAGCATAGGGGGAGCAGCAGGCAGAGGAAGAGGGAGAAGCAGGCTCCCCACTGAGCAGGGAGAACGACACCGGGCTCGATCCCAGGACCCTGGGATCATGACCTGAGCTGAAGACAGACACTTAACCGATTGAGCCCAGGCGCCCCTGGCAGTTTAATTTTTAATGTTAACACTCTCATCTAGAACTAGAGTCCATGTTTCTGCCTCTTGACATTGACTGAACTTTTGTGACTATTTGGGCTGCTGAAATGATGCTGTGTGGCTCTCCAGGGTAAGCCAAGAAGGCACGATAAGGCATCCATATCACCTTGCCCTTCAGCCACTATGTACGGAATGACTTCCTTGAAGTCACCATGCTGTGAGGAAGCCTAAATGCAGCATGGTAACCAGAACATCAAAGTCCTTACATGACCAAGGGCCTACACATCCTCACCAATTTCCATCTCTGGCCTCTGACTTGCGTACTGAGGTTCAGGGGCCCATGGGACTCTCATTTGCCTCACTCCCACCACACTGGCCTTTTTTTTTTTTTTTTTTAAAGATTTTATTTATGTATTTGCCAGAGAGAGACAGCGAGAGAGGGAACACAAGCAGGGGGAGTGGGAGAGGGAGAAGCAGGCTTCTCGCGGAGCAGGGAGCCTGATGCGGTGCTTGATCCCAGGATCCTGAGATCATGACCCGAGCCGAAGGCAGACGCCTAACAACTGAGCCACCCAGGTGCCCCTACACTGGCCTTTCTGCTGTTCTTGACCATACCAGGTGTCCTCCTGCCTCTAGTCCTTTGCACTTGCTGACTCCTCTGCCTGCCGTACTATTCCCACAGATATCTGCCTGCCTCAGTCACTTCCTTCTTCACTCAACACCACCCTCAGAGCATGCTCTAACACTATTTAAAATCTAACACTATTTAAAATTGTACCCTCCAAAAGAGAAAGCTCTTCTTTAAGTAGAATGCCAATAAGTATGGGAAGAATGATGGGGTTAGAAAATCAACAATGAATGAATGCAAATTTTTTTTTTTTTT